ACAGTACATTATATTTGATATCGATGCAGCTGTGTTTTTTTTTTTTTGGGTGTATTTAAGGGTAGTTTGGGAAGATAGTGGGGTTTACTTAGAAATTGTGAAATTTTAAATTAAAAGTTGGGGTGAACTTAGAACATGGGGTGAACTAAGAGAAGTGTGGGGTTTAAATAGAAAATCTCTTCTTTTTTTAGTTTTTAGAATTAAGAAAAGAAAAAATGTGTATTTATTTTCCATAATAGTTGGATCCATTATCTGATTTTTTTTTTAATTTTAATTTTTTTAGTATGAAAAAAAGTGAATTTACCATATTATCCTCATTTAATAAATAATTGCAATTCTTCTTGTTTGAATTAACCAAGGGCATTTTCTGGTATTTTGAATGTTTCACCATTCTCTACCTTTTACTTTATATATATAGATTTAGTTATATACCCATTCTTAACACTAAAAGTATAAATAAATCCTACACCATTTAATTTCTATAAACAAACCCAAAAAACACCCAAAAAATGACAACTGGCCCTATTGAATTTAATTTTGATTATTAAATTACTTTGATGCCCTGTTGAGTGTTTTGGGCCTTTTTATGAGGTTTTGGGGTTGAGTTTGTTTTAAGAAATCTATGACAGTTTTGTAATTTAAAAGAAATTAAAAACCTTTATGTTAAGTTGTAAATGGACTTTGGATGTGTTTCTAAAGTCCATTTCATATAGGGGTTTTTTATCATTTAGGCTCCTATATTGGGTATAATAGTGAATCTCCCTTTATTTTAGAGTGAAATCTGCTTTCTATATATTTTAAAGCATGAATTAATAACACTGCGTATATATTTGACTAGAACACTCTAGAGCAATTAATGCAAGCTGCCTATACATAACTGGCTTGTATGGGTGAAAATGAGCCCCATGCTTCCATGATCTTCTTTCTGACTCACTGCAAAACTCCATGTGTATAATTTTGCATGGATCCCTGAGCCCTCACAAGAGTAAATGACATTTGATAGGAATCCGATTCAATTTACGTCACTCATGACGCTCACAAGAATAATTTGGTTCATCAATGTAATGCAATTAGATATACCAATTCTGCAATAAACCCGTCTGATCATATTTGTTTCTGTATATCTTGATTTATAGTAATTAGCTTTAATATTATGCATCCCTCATTTCTAAGCTTAATTTGCCGCCACCTTTGGTTTATAGAGTTAAATCCAAGTTGTGAGAGATGATCGAGTAAGGCAATGAGTTAGAATTAGGCTAAGTTAAAACTTTGATTTCTTTTCTTGTTTATTTGATAACCAAACTTCGATTTCTTTTTTTCATTGTAAGTATAATATGATGAAAATGGATACAGAAGCAATGAGAACTAAGTAATGATATATATACTTTTAAATTTAATCAATTGGAAGGCAATTCTTCAACCCCCCAACTAGACTGTGCCGGTGTGAGGTTATCTTATAGACATACAGATATACATGCACTTCCCTTCCCTTTATCTCTCTCTCAATCTCTCCCTATAAATAGAGGCATGGTTCCTCCTTTCCAAAGCATTCTAGTCTCTCTCTCTTTGAATAATTGAAGTAAAATGGGTTCCAAGGCTTTCATTTACTGTGGTCTTTTACTTGCCATTGTCCTTCTCATCTCCTCCGAAGTGGCCGCAAATGGTGAGCTTAATTTGTTTCGCTTTTCCTTAACAATAATGCTTGAGTCACCAAAATTTATTTATCAAATAAAGCGAAGTAGTTTACTTACTACAAATATTTGAGGCACTTAATCTCCATGATCTTTTGTTAAATGCACGTTTTATTACATGACCTGCAGCTGCGGAGGAAGCTACAAATCCCAATGTAGGTGATGCTAAATATGGTGGAGGGTACCAGGGAGATCCGGGTCGTGGGGGATACGGTGGCAACCCGGGTCATGGAGGTTACGGTGGTAACCCGGGACGCGGTGGATATGGAGGAGGAGGAGGAGGAGGGCGTTGCTACTATGGTTGCTGCAGGCGCAGTTACAATGGAAGAGAGTGCGTAAGGTGCTGCAACCATGCTAATGAGGCCGTTGATGCACAACCTTAAAACTAATTAACTAACTGATTAAGGCCACTAGTCTGCATATGTGCATGCAGTGTGTGTTTAATTAGTTGGATAATTATTTATTAGTAGATCTGAAGATGCATGCGCTCAATGCTTGAAGTACTTGATTCCTCGCAATATTTGTATGAATAAAACTTCAGAAGCGAGGCATGCAAAAAATTAAATTAAACTAATTATCATGAATGCTTAGCTGATGATATGCTCTTTTATTTTGGTGTAATGCATGTCATCGATCGATGATATAAGAAATCGATGACATATACCAATAACGTTTATATGCAATTTGTTCACCTTTTTTTTTTCTTCCAAATTTTGCTCTTATGTATGGGATGTCAGATATCTTTGAACTCACACATGGCAATCAAATTTACTGACAAAATGTAAAATATATATAGCTTCCGTTAAGAGATTCCTCAAATAAGTTATTTGAGGGACACCCTTGTAACCCACTCCGTATTGTATTTTACTAATTCAAACCGTCTATTTTGTAGATATTCATTCAAAGATCATCTCTACAAAAAATCACTTGAATCCGATATCATTTAATCACTTGAACATGAAATCTCTAATTTGCAAGTCAATATCTTTTTTCCCTCTGCTAGATCCGACAGAAGAAGAGTGTTTTGGGCATATTCAACTCTGGGGTTGAGATATTTTCGGCAATTTTGTTCTTGCTTTGGTCATTTAAAGCAAAGAAGCACAACTTGCTCTCCCGTGGCCCCCAATCTCTTACATATATGAGTCTCAATCTCATCATCTATCAATATCTCTCAGAAATACACAACATCTGAACTGAAAGGACAAAGAAGAAAAACAGAAATTGGATTGGATTTTATTTTATTTTGACCAAGTAGAGACTATTAATCATTTAGATAAGAATGAATAAATTGATGGTCAACTTGATGCCCAACAACCAACAACCCTGCACCCATCTGGCTACACAGTCTTTATGGCATATGTGAAACGTGGATTTTTTTTATTTTTTTTTGCCACGTAAGAAAAATTTATTAGTGGGAAAAAAAACTTGTATAGATATGCCAATTAAGGACCCAAAATAAAAATAATCAGTCCAAGAAAACAATAGCGCTCGTTTCATGTTACGTGTATACAAATAATACACACGTTTTTTTTTTTCCAAACAATACAAATATTATTGTCGAAAGTCGAAATGCTCAATTACAATAGCCACACGGAATAACCAATCATCTGAACCTATATTTAGATCCAAACAAAAACTCAATACAAATTTCAATTAGGTATAAAAGATAATACATTCTCTGTCAATATATCTACGTTTCGTTGACGATAATAATATCGAAATATTATCGATAAATATTTTATATGTATGTGTCCAAATTCACATGCAAGCTGAGCTGAACCTAGACCCGTGTCTTTGCTTGAATTACTAGAGTGTTTTGAGACTGGAAGATATTGCTTAATATTATATCAATATATGTCAGTTAAGTCAAACGTACATTGCCTGGTGTCGTAACAATGTGGTATAAAACAGTGGCGATCGGCTAGTGGGACATCCAGCAATATAAATAAACAGTGGCGATCGGCGAGGCCTAACGCTCACTCCCTTCTTCTACCTTAAAACTAGCAATCTTTCTTGTGAGATTTTTTAGTAAGCATAAGATTTCGACAAGTCGTGACTTTCAAAGCTTTCATTTTGTTGGGCCTTCTGTTTGGCTCTGTTGTTCTCATCTCTTCCACTGTCGCAGATGAGACATCCAAAGATGAGAAGAAAGGTTAATTAAGTTATTCATTATTCTAGTGACTCCTTGTGGGCGCACACATATATATAATATTGTGTATCACTTCTCTAATGTGATATAAAAAGATGATAAGTTTAGCATTTATAACAACATCGATACTCAACTTCTGTTGAACTTCGAGAAATAGAGTTCTGCTTCTTGTATTGCCACGAAACTAGAGTAGGACTTACGAAAACAACAAAATCTATAGTAGATCTTCTTGTATTACCAACTCAATCTAATAATAATTGTATTGTTTGGGGTTAAAATATATGTGATTTGAGGTGAAAGCATAACATCAAGTGGTTAAAAGAGCTTAGGTCTCTTCATTCATTGCCAATTCATTTTTCGGTTGGTTCAATTCATTTTTAGTTGGATGCTCACATTCTAAAATGATAACAAGATTCCAAGATTATCCACGTAGCAAGTCCAACAATCTCATCGCTCTGCTAAAATTTATCCACATGTACATGTTTGACGCTATATCTACATTTAGGTGTTTCGAAACTCTCTCATTGAAGATACATGTCTACATATGTAAATGTATCTACATGTGTGAGTGTGTGTAGGTGTCCAAATTCACATGCATGCCCCAATCTCTTATATATCTATAGAGCATGCATGAGTCTCAATCTCATCATCTATCAATCTCTCACAAAACAAAATACACTATATCCGAACTCGAAGGACAAAAAAAAAAGAAGAGAGAAATTGGATTGGATTTTGACCAAGTACTATTTTAAAAAATTTAGATAAGATTGAATAAATTGATGATAGTCAACTTGATGCCCAACAACCAGCTACACGGCCCCTAGCTGGATACAGTCTTCATGGCATGGCTACCCAGATTGCTAGCAAGTACTCTGAGACATGCATGCTGAGCTGAGCTCAACCTAGACACGTGTCTTCGCTTGAATAACAAGAGTGTTTTGATATATCAAGCCTAGGAGAAGTCATCATGATAAGAATTGGAAGATATTGCATAATATTATTATTTATATATCAAGGGAAGTCAAACTTTGCTGACTAAAATCTGCGTCTTTTACTCGTAAACGATGCATGCCACCGTAATGGCTGGTGTCGTCTAGTGGGATCTCCCAGCACTATAAACAGTGGTGATCGGCAAAGCATAACATTCATTCGCATCTTCTGCCTTAAACTAGCAATCTTTCTTGTGAGATTTTTTAGTAGCATAAGATTTCGACAAGTCATGACTTTCAAGGCTTTCATTTTGCTGGGCCTTCTTGTGCTTGGCTCTGTTGTTCTCATCTCTTCCACTGTTGCGGCTGAGACATCCAAAGATGAGAAGAAAGGTTTACCAAATATATGATTTTATGCCAAATATATATATGTGCATGCATGCATATGTGACAGTTAATCTTAGAATTCATGATCCTTTTATCACACAATCGACCAACCCAGAAAAGAAGTCAAAATATGTACCAAGAATTTGATTTGATTTGGTTTTGTATTAATATTATTCGAATATATATACTCACTAACGTCACATATATATGGCTGGTGGCTGGTGCAGTGGATGAGGCACAGGAAGCGAACCCTGTAGATGACGCAAAACGATATTGCGGGTGTTGCACTCGTTATGGCTACTATAGATGCGGCCCACAATGTTGTCGGCAACCTGAAGCTGATGATCAGCCTCAAGAAGTAGGCGACAGCCTTGAAACGAACCAGCCTGATGGGTATGGATATGGCGGCGGCGGCTATGGAGGAGGCCGTGGTGGCGGCTATGGAGGAGGGGGCCATGGCGGCTATGGAGGAGGAGGCCATGGCGGCTATGGAGGAGGAGGCCGTGGAGGCGGCGGCTATGGAGGAGGTGGCCACGGGAGAGGTGGTGGAGGAGGCGGCTATGGCAGAGGCGGTGGCGGTGGTGGAGGAAACTGAAAGGCCCCGAGCTAAACCCACTGTATGAGAGAACTATGTACATATAGAAATCGTTCGTTCTTAAAGTATGGTAGAGAAGAATAGATGAATAAGCTCTCCATGTATGTATGTTTTTCCATGCACGAGAATGAGTGCAAGATAAAAGGGTCAAATATCACCTGGCTATTTTGACCCCAGCTAGCTTGCTCCAAGGACTGACCATAAGTCATTGTAGCTGGTTTATGTATTATATATATAACAGTAGTATCTTCACTACTTTCTACTCGTTTTTAATGTTGCTTTTAGAACCATGCGCACTCTTCTCCAATGTTCTATAAAAAGTAAAAAACCAGAAATAAAAAATAATGTGTCAATATATTATGCATGCTTATGGGTTTGTCCTTCCACTACCGCAGCCTTCAATCCGAATCTCATGCTTGGTTTCTTCGAACACGACCTTGATGCGATGGTAGAGTGTTATCTACATTAGGATGATGCCATGTGTGACAAGATTAACTTTGTTTGGTCAGTTGTACTGTTTATGTAAGGTTATGTAAGAGAACAAGATACTATAATAGCTAGCCTAATCTTTGTACCGACACTAACACTAGTAAAAAAATGTGGCAACAATCACCATTATTTGGTGATATTTGTGGCCGTGACAAAAGGCATTAGTCACCTTTTTTGATTTTTTTGGTGACTAAGAAGGCATTTAGTCACATTTTTTACTTTTCACAATATGAAACCAAATAATGGTGACTGTTATCACTTTTTTTTGTAATGTGAGATCAATACTTGAGCCTATTATAATCGTCTCTATTGTTTCATTTCTTCCTTCTTCTCCTTCTTCTTCACTCTGAATAAAGTTTGGTTAAAACACTGGCCATTTATCCCAAATTACTGAAATTGTTATATATTATGCCTAAAATCAACCTAAATTAATATATTAAATTCAACAAATTTATCTTCCAAGCGCACAGATTAATGATTAGTATAGATATGCAAGTACAAATTTGTTCCACAAAGATTGAATTAAATTCCAATTAATTAACCAAGCACAGCTTGTCTATTAAGGAACAAAACAATAAAAGAAATAAAAATAAAAAAACAAAAAACGACAAAAGAAAGAAGAAAGAAGAATAGAAAAAGAATATGAAAAGAAACGAATTAGGATTCCACTCAAGTTTGATTTTGGTTTTGAAAACAATTAATTGAAAACAACTAAAAATAACGAAACTTAGGAGCTTTTAGAAAAAGGATTTAACAATGAACAAAAACACCAAAGCATCGGATTCAGCCGTTAGTTATCTTTTTCATGTAATTAGATGCAAGCAATCGATTTCACAAGTCAACTGACAAAGATTCCCTACCTAAGTCGTACTTAGCGCACTTAAGTCAAGTTTTCCTAAATTATGATTACTATCCGTATTATGGCATAGGTCTTCCTAGATGTAATTTATCCGTATTAAGGCATAAGTTAAGCACTAGAAATGCATTACGATCAAGTAATAAATTTGCAACTCAAAATCCCAAGGAGCAAACAAAACATGCAACCTATTAACCTTGAGGCAAACCCTAAAGGTGATCAATCAATATAATTAAACAAATAAATCCAAATTAACCAGAGATTTAGAATTTGTCAATTAAACTTATAAAATTGAAAACTTAAACATCTAACACATGAATAATTAAACTAAGGCATCCTCCTAGCTTTGCCGAGTGTTCTCGCTAGTCATGGTCATTGGATATGCATCATAATATTCTTAAAAGAAAACATGAAACAAACTAAGAACACTGAACTAGGTGTAGTCGTCAACTTCTCTTTTCGGAATCGCCTTTCTCTCTCAACTTGTTGGTGAATGGATGGTGGCTTCTCAATGTGTGTGTGTCTTATAGCACAGAAAAGAAGTTAATTTAATAGATTATTAATTGCGATACTGCCAAGCACGAAGAAGTTAACATTCGATTCTTTACAACCCAAAAACTCAATAGCATATATTCAGGAACAACTTAAGAGTGTTTGTTATGGAGTGAAAAACCTATATCCTATCGGTAAACTTACAGAGTGAAAATATAATATCTATTACTATTAGGTCATTACTCGAGTCTTTATTGTCCCCTTTTGATTTTTTACTTTTCCAGAGTTATTACTCGTATAATAAATTTAGCATTTTCAAGTGTAATATTTGTATCATACACGTATGTATGTATTTTTTAATAATAAATTCATTTTCTGTACACATTTTAAAGACTCGTTAAAATACACATTTTTTAACAAGAAAATGTACAATACTTGTATTATACACGTATATACGTATGTTCATGTTTAATACATGTGTTTTTTACAAAATTTTCAATAATACACACAAAATTAACTTATTATACACATAATTTTCACATATTATTGAATAAAAATAATATATATTAAAAAGTTAAAAAAATTATATTAAAAAATTATATAGTGACCGAACTTTTCAATTGTAATTTGCCAAAATTTTCCGAATAAAACATGTACGTATTTTATTCTTATTTTTTCCATTCCGTATTTTACTAACTATGAAAGAATATGATAGGCTAAGATTACTTCTTATTTGTTGTAACAAAAATGCAAGATGGTGATTTTGCAATTCTTTGCTAACCAAAACAACAATTTCAAACAAAGATTTATGGGTATAGTAGTAAGAGAGGTGGTAGTATTCTTCATGTAAAGTGTTGTTTGAAAAGTGAAGCAATAATTACCAAGAACACTCCAACTCAGCATGCAATTCTCTATGACAAATAAGGTGTGCAGTAACAGAATTTAGTAGCACTCGAGAGAACAAGTTAGATCAAAGGCAAACATTCCCATAAAAAAAGAAGAAGAAAAAATTGAACTCTCAGATTGATTTACTGTGAAATTTCTCTCTCTTCAATATTTGCTTTTGATATGTTGAAACTAGCAAATTAATATCCATAAAGTATAAACTATAGGAGGGTACTTTTTTTAATTTTTTTTTTTCAAAAAACCGGCCATACCTTTTAAATTTAATCGGCCATACCTTTTTAATTTAATATATTTAAATAGTATAGCCGGGCGGCTATACTATGGTCTTTTTAAAAAAATTAGTATAGCCGCACAGCTATAAATGTTTTTGACACGAGGCTGCCTAAGCGCTAGGCGAGTCCTTTTTTTTTCTTTTTTTTTTTATAAAAAAAAATAGTATAGCGCGGCTATACTGGGATTTTTTTTTTTTTTTTTTTAAAGTATAGTAAAGCCCTATTTATATTTATACTGGGATACTTTTTTCTTTTTTAAAAATTTCTTTCCCCGATTTTCTTTTATCGATAAGGGTAGTTTAGAGCATTATCCATTACTATTAGGCCATTACCCGAGTCTCTATTGTCCCCTTTTGATTTTTTACTTTTCTAGAGTTATTACTCGTATAAAGAATTTAGCATTTTCACATTTAATACTCATATTATACACGTATGTACACATTTTTCAATAATACATCCGTTTTCTGTACATGTCTTAAAAACTCAGTAAAATACACGTTTTTAAAAAAAGCAAACGTACAATACTCGTATTGTACAGGTGTACGTATTTTTCATGTTTAATACACGTGTTTTTTACAAAATTTTAAATAATATACACAAAATTTTCACATATTATTGAATAAAAATAATATATATTAAATAAATTAAATAAAAATATTATATAGTGGCCGAACTTTTCAGTTGTAATTTGCCAAAATTTTGCCGAATAAAACACGTATGTATGAAAGAATGTGAAAGGGTAAGATTACTTATTACTTATTGTAACAAAAATGCAAGATGGTGATTTTGCTATCTCTTTGCCAACCAGAACAACAATTTCAAACAAAGATTTATGGGTACACAAAACATTCAACCCTAGCACACAAGGAGATTATAAATACATAGCTACACAAGACATTCAAGTTAATTCTAAATTCCTCTCTCAACGCTTTCTCACCCGAAAAAACTCTCTCTCTCTCTCTCTCTCTCTCTCTCTCTCTCTCTCTCTCTCTCTCTCTCTCTCTCTCT